AAATTCCAATGGCATTTCAACTTTTGTTTTTGTTGTTTCTTCTTTATTTTTTCTTCGTTAGAAGATCACATGACAGTTGATTTGGAAAAATTGCTCGTTGTCTTTTTTTTTTTGTTCTCATTTTTGTTATGCTACTGCTGCTACTGCTGTTCCTGCTGCTGGTGCTGGTGCTGGTGCTGTTGCTGTTGCTGTTGCTGTTGTTGTTGCTTTTGCCGTTGCTGTTGTTGCTGACGCTGAGGCTGATACCGGCGACGCTACTGCTACTGTTGATTGCAGTGCTACTAGGACTGCTCTGATGTCCCCTTTTGCAGCCTGCCTGATTGACTGTCGTATAGGCTGTTAGGTTTGACTACCACCCCGGTTGTCGTCCTTTAGCATTCGTTCTTCATTAAAATCTAGCAAGGAAGTGGATTTTATCAAGAGCAAAAAAAAAAATGAAAAGAGAAGAAAAAAACAGCCAAGCAGTTATTACTGGCTTTTAGACAACTGGGAAAGAAAGTAAAAGAGAAAAAAGCAAAATAGTGGACGAAAACTTTAATGACCAAAAAATTTGTTGGCTAGAATACCAAAGGACTCAAGAAAAAAAGGGTTTTTTATTTCAGAAGAAAGAACAAGAAGAAAAGAAATAAACTTTTGAAATAGCTAAAAATGTTGATATGATACAACAGAAATGCATCTGAATACAAAAGTAATGTATATGATATTGAAAAGCCTATTAATCAAATAACAGGAATCTATCTTCTCCAGCTTTTTTTCTGTTTTTAAAACACTTTGCTTTGAAATGATAAATTTTACAATTTTTTTTTTTTGGTGTTAATATGAATGAAACAAAAAAGTACCAGCCAAAAGAGATGAAAGAAAGAACCGCACATGCAGACAGACTTGAAAAGGTGTCAAGAAGAGTAAAGAAAAAATAGGAAGAGTAAAGAGACTTTTTTTTACTTTTATGTTTCCACCATTTTAACTATCAGTGTTCTGTAGTTTACTGTTTTTTTAAAATGTTTCTAATTTTTTTTCTACTTTGGATAACGAGGATAGAAGAGGCGGGGTTACGAGGTGAAATTTGGGGAAAAGTGGAATGGAGAGCGGTAAGAGGAAGTAAAAAAACAAACTTTTTGCCGTAAAAGAAAAATGGGCAGACGAAAAAAAAAGAATTTGTTTAAAAAATTGACAATATGTCATTATAGTTGAAAATTGGTGTTTAGGGACAATAAATTTTATAAAACTTCTCTGTGATTTATTGAACGTAATTTTCATACATTTTTTTTCATTCATTTTTCTCTGTTTTTACTATAGTTATTCTTCTTCGCCACCACCACCATCTTCTTCTTTTCCTTCGTCAAACTATTCTTCTCTTTTATCACTGTTTTCTTTTACACTCTTTCTTCTTCTTCTTTTTCTTTTCCTTAATCTTCTGCCATTTTTTGCTTTTCTTTCTTTATCATTATTCTTCTTCTTCTCTTTCATTACAGTTATTTGCTCATTTTGTTAGCACAGCGGCACCACATCAAAAAAAAAAAAAAACAAGTACTGAAAAAGAAGAAGAAGGATAGGCAACTAAGTTATTTATATATGAAGGTTTTCAGTCTATTGTTAAACATCATTTTTATTATTGAATTCGATTAATTATTTTGTTCCTCTTTCAATTGTTTCAAGGACTAGTCGTTTTCGTCTTTATTTTAGCAAAGAAGGCGAAAAAAGGAGACAAAAAACAAAACACTGAAACAGTAAAAATAATAATAAATTGACCCCAATTTTGGACTGTTTTAAATGCTTCACAAAAACCGTTTTTAAAACATTTATAAAAGACGGAAGAAATCAACTAGAACACTAAATAAGTGGATACAGTTTTCAAAAACTTTTTTTTCTTCTTCGACCAATGTCTTTTAGAAGAGTTATTGGTAAAAAAAAAAAAAAAAAAAAAAAAAAAAAAAAAA